GAACTGCTCGAATCATAGTTCTCAGGCCCACAGTCAATCAACAAGCACAACGAATTGCTGGTCCCATATTCCGTAATGAAAAATCGTCTGAACAGGAGAATCAGCCGACTGGGAAGGGCCGGACCCAGTTGTCGCGCCAGTATCAAGCCCGCATCCAAAACGGACAACGAAATTGCGGCAATGAATCGTTGGAAGCAGACTGCCAAGTTATCCCCCACCAATTACGACCCTCAGCGGTGTTGTAACGGAAGCCCAGGCCGAGATATCGCCGCCCAATAACGCCTTTTATGAGTCCCCAAAGGAAGAACACGACAGGAAGTGTGCAACAGCAGAAGTCCTTTAGTGTGAGGTACAACGTATTTAGGAAACAAACGCGTGCATACGATGTCCCTTGAGCCAATCAGATTCTCTCCTGAAATAGTCGCCGGTATTATTGGCTGTTGACTCAACGACTGACTGTAGTTTGAATTTCAAGTTATTGATTGACTGCCTGTCAGTATGCTTCGCCGCCTGTAAGCCGATCGATAGCCTGCCGTGAGCGCGCCTCACGCTTGCATGCTATCTGCCTGTTAGGCTGTTCGTTAGGTCGCCCTAACACCAAGGACCGTCAGAAAGTTGGCACTCTAGTGTTGAAACCCACAGGAAGACCCGAAATTTTCTAAAAAGCACCACCAGCCGAAATGAATTGCCCTGTAATTAGAAGCCAAAACAAGGGTGACTGAAAGCGGCTATTTATACAACCGTTCGCGTGTCTCTGTGTATATATATACAATGCAACAGAATTACACTTCAAGTACAAAATTGCTGTACAATGAAAATGCTCCGTCCTTGGTCAATCAGGCTGGCACCTTCTTGTTTTTGTAGTCCAGCTTCTTCTTGTTTTTCTTCACGGGTCCCTTCGGCCGGTCTGCCTTCGATGTTGCCGACTTGGCGGCCTTCTTCTTTCGTTTGAGCAGGAGTCGTTGTATGTACTTTGTGCGTTCTCCTCCACGCAGATTGCTAGGCACCACAATGAAGGGTTTGTGGGCCTCTGGGGCTGATTCGCGTCGCGGCGCCTTACTGCCGAAACGACCGCCGCCATGGCCGTTGGCGCTGTCATTGCCCTTCCTCAACTTTGCCTTCTTCATGGCCTTCCAGAACTGGACACGCAGAGTTCGGCCGCCCACCTCGAGGTTTTCGGAGCCTCGCACAGCCAGTGTGGCCATAGTGGGGTCTGCAAACTCC